AACATTTTGGTTGCTAAGCAAGAGCATTGTTAAGTGAGTTTCACCACATTTTACAAGTTGGCCATGCCCAACCAGTCACATGGCTGGCAAGCCACTCCCACCCGGTCACATGATCTGCAAGCCACTCCCACCCAGTCACATGACCAGCAAGCCACTCCCACAAACAGGCCACACCTACAGAAGAGGTTCTAAAAATTTTTGAAACCCACCACTGAATGTGACGCAGCATGTTTGACACTCGTGCTCTGGATGATCTGCAATAGATCCCCAATCTCCAGTTTGTGGACCAGCACTGGTCCATGGCATGCCAGAAATCGATCTGTGCAAACAAGTGAAGCCCCGTCCACCGGATGCAGGCAGCACATGAAACCACACCGCCTGTGGTCCATAGAAAAATCTCTCACCATGGAACTGGCTTTTGGTGCCCAAAAGATTAAGGCCCTACAATACAAAAAAGCAAACAATGGCTTTATGGAAACCTATTCAAACAAAGGCAAACAAACAGCAGTCTTTTATAGGCCAATGTTTACGGAGGTTATCACAGAAACAGAAAAGCTTTAACTGCTGAGACAGTGAAATGTATCTCTAAAGAAAAAGAGCCAGAATCAAAAAATATTAGGAATGCAACAAAATATTGTGAATATTCCAAAGAATTGGGATTTTGTAGAACAGCACAGGTAGTCTTCAACATACAGGTTAAGGTCCTATGGGACTTTAAGATTCAAACAGGCAGGCATCTTGTTCATTACGTTCCTGATGTAACAATTATTGAAAAGAAGAAAATCTTGGTTTATTGATGTCATTCTGGGTGACATCATGAGTCCCTGCATGCCCACAAGAGATCTAAATCCAGCCCACCTGGAATGCCTTTCTTATCTCCCACTCATTTCCCTTGACTATCAGTTGGTCAGATTCTTGTAGAGAACTTAAGTTTGCAATAAGTCTTTATACTCATTTGAACTGCCTGAATCTCCTGATTTCTCCATGCCTGACATTAATTTGAGTCCGTGTGGCAGATATCCTTCTTGTTGGGAAAAAGCCATGACAGAAGATAACAAATAGATGGACATCACCAATGAATGCCTACCTGTGTTCTTCCTGGAGAAAATATGATAATTTAAGGGAAATTGGTAAAAGGCAAAGTGGATGGAGAATGTATTAAGAATGATGTTTAGATATTGACTCATCATTCTGGAGTCAGTTGTGATTTTAAATAACACATAAATCTTTGTCTTAAGGAAACAGTTGGGCTTGTAAAGTCCATGTTACAGGTTAGATGGAAAAATTGTCGTTAATGTTCCTTACTAATTGGGGTTGCTAGATCTTGCAAGCTAAATCAACTTGGTTATGTACCAAATAACACAATGTCACATTCAATTAGTATCCAAACCTGGAAATTGTAAAAATATGGCTTAGGGGAAAAAAAGGAACTTTTTTTTCCTAAGCCATAATTTTGAGGTCTCCAGTTTTGGATACTAATTAAATGTTCCTTTTCCCTGTTCCAAACTGGATTATAGAACAGTTGTTTTATGTGTGTGTGTGTGTGTGTGTCTGTGTGTGTCTGTGTGTGT